TTCCTTTATTAATCGCTTTGGCAATGCATAGGATGGAAACTCTTAATGACGGCACCTACTACAATGTTGGGGAAAAGTCCGGGAATGTTGGGATGACTTTCATTTTGTTTGAAGAGGCAAGTCCAAGGGATTCGTAAATTGGTATCACCAGAGGAGAATTGCCCGATTTTGTGACGAGATGTATGTGAATAACTCCTCGACGCACTGCCTTGAGAAATCAATGACTTCTTGCTAAACTTTGATCAGTCTTGTGACGGGTACGCCGGAGCAGAAAATAAGACATAATGATAATTCACCAAGCACGAAAACAAGAAAGACAGCTAGCTGCAAACCTACCTACTTCTTATAGCACTACTTTGTCCATCTAGTGGGTCAACTTATGATGTGATTGCATTTCCTATACTTTCACTAAATGGTTGGTAAGAAGGAAAGTTGTTCTCATCCAGGACAGACTGCAGTTTCGACTTCGTCTAGGTCTTATAAAAAAACCCCAACCGGAGTCGTACTATAACAGTACAGCATGTAAGCTCGACACGTTAGCCATTCCACCACCTACTCAATGAGGAAAAAGTACTGTCGTAGATTGCTATAGCGAATATAGGCTTGTTTCATCAAAATTCCCAACACAGAATATGAAATGGAAAATGCATGACCTTCCTTGAAATTCACACCTGCCCTGTACTCGTGGCAACGTGGCGTAGTGGTTAATGCATCAAGTTTACACGCTGCACTTTATTGTTTCGATTCCCTCTTGGTGTTGCTAACGCCTATACTAGGTCGTAACTGCAGTCCACGCTGGATGAGAAACGCTTTTGAGAAGGCAAGGCTATGAGAAATTCAATGAAATCATCAGCTCTACTCATATCATTGTGGGAAAATTCAACTACTAGTCCTTTATTACCTTAAATGAAATAGGATGAACCCAACTCATATATGAGGTGTATTCAACCCGTTTTATTTAGTGTGATGAAAGACTAGCAGTTAATTTTTCCTACAATTATATGAGCAGGCATTACATTTGGATTTAATTTCATAGCCTTGCTTCCAAGGTCTCACCAGCACCCCCGGCAGGACTATAACCTTGATTAGGCAGCGCATAAATTAGACATATTAACCACTACGCCACACTCCGATGAATGCCTTTGGATAACAAAACAGTTGTGAAATTTAAGGAAGGCCAGACCCTTTCCAATATCAAACAGTAAGATTGTCAATGAAGCAAAGCTGTATTTGCTAGAGCAATCGATAAAATCACTTATATTTCTTATATAAAAAGGTTTCCAAGATTATCAGTAGATCATACATATTATATGTATTATGAACGTGTCGAAATTATGTACTGCACTATTAGGGTTCGAGTCGGACAGGGCCTGGTGATAAGACCTAGGCAAGGCCAAACTGTAGTCAATTCTGGATTAGCATCTTTTGGGTAATAAGGCTATACAAACTTTAATGGATACGAAAGGCCTACTCATATAACAGTGGTAAAAAGCAAATACCCTTCCTTTAAAATAAATAGTGAATACATCTCATAGATATATATTGGTAGTTTCGAAAACATACTTATAAGGCTAATCCAAATGGTGCCCTGAGCGAGCCACGTTATTGGATAATTTTATTTTTTGGATCTGCAAACCCTTTCAGCTTTTCAATTATTTAGATAGCCTCTTATGTATGGGGCTGCAGGTCTCTTCCACAAATGCACTGCTGCATCAACACGAAATTTTGTAACAGCACGATCTGGAGACAGTGTCAGAATATCCTCGAAAAATAGACATTAGCAAGGTCAAGCGTTAGCTTCTTATTATAAATAATGTTGGTGTCCGACTTCCTCAGTAATTCGTACATTATTACGATGACAACAGCAGAGTGGTCTATCCTTTTATCTAGCTCCAAATATGTATTCTTCTCCATCCTATTTGAGAATATTATAAAATAATTGTCTGTCAATATTTGCAGATAATTATTCTCAGCTAGAATTCTCCTTAATCGCCTCGAATCTTGGTCCTGAAGAGTAAGATCTACAATACTCTTATTTTAACATCACAAATGAGGTTGGAAAATAATGTCTGCGTTTGTGAGTTACCTATATACATATCTATCTAACTTGGTTCCGTTTTTACTAATAAATTTAGAAAAGGCAAACGACCTTCCACCTATAACTCCATATGGAATTTCGTCTTCCCGTATGTCTTGTTCATCAAATCAATAGATTTTACATGGCCTCTTAATCGTGCTGCCAAACGGCAATGTAGTAGTTCAACTAGAGATCCAATGACTTATGAAAAAAAATTACTATGTAATTATTTGCTAAAATTGGTAAATTAAAACACGATCCAGTAGCTAAACCGTTTTTGAAGGTAAATCGAAGGTATGAAGACCAAGATGATGTAGCTTCTAGTAGATTTCATCAGTAAATGTAAAGTATGTGCAACGCATCGATCAATTTTTTAGTATCATTAGTGACTCTATCTGACTGTAGTTAAGATATCTAGATATTGATTTAATGTTGATTGTAGAGCCTGTGTAACATTGTCTACAGGAATGTTTATATAAATGAAATTAACATCAAAACTTAAAAGTAAAATCCCAACTCTATCTCTTGCTCGTCAGCATTAGACCAATACCGACAATTTAGGAAGTAAAAAGCTATGTAGCGTCGAGGACTTATCCACATAAATCTACAGTCGCAGCTCCGAGATAACAGCCCCGATTAACACGAGTGATCAACATGACGATAAAAACTGCTTATTTTACATTAAATAGTCAGTCACAAAAGATATGTATAACCTGTCCGTAAAAATAATATAATAATAATATAAAGCCAAAAGGATCGTGACGAGCGGAAAGTGATACGGGGATAATGAAGGAAAAATAATGAAAAGATAACAGACTTTTTCTTTTATCGTTAACTTGACTATAAAAGATACCATACTCTGATGATGTCTGTCACATGACGGACGAAGGCTTGGCACGTTTTCACCGGAATCAAAGGGGACTATCTCGAAAACAGCCCCTACAAGAATGTTTCAGTGATGACAGATGAACAAGAGGAATCTGGCGTCGCCTTAAGGTGGGATAGACCTATGAATCTCTTAACCAAGCATTCACTCGAAATGGAAGTGTACTCAAGAATTAGAATATGTCTATGGCGACCTAGACAAGAAGCAACAGATGCAGCTAATGAAAGGAAAGATTAGCAAGATCGTAATAAAAGGACAACGATCTTCGAAAACTTTTAACCTTCTTATTGATTAGTTAAAAGTATGATTTCAGTAATCAATTAGGCTAAACATTAACCAAAAAATTAGAATATTCTTTAGAAAATGGAATCCATATGTGTGGATGCGATGATCCTAAAATAAGACCAT